CCCAGCCTGTAGCGCTGCAGGGGGTTGTTGTGGCCAAAGTGCAGGACCCGGCACTTGGCCTTGTTGAACTTCATCCCATTGGAGTCAGCCCATCTCTCCAGTCTATCCAGATCCCTCTGCAGAGCCCTCCTGCCTTCCAGCAGGTCGACACTCCCTCCCAACTTGGTGTCATCTGCAAATTTGCTGATGGTGGACTCAATCCCCTCATCTAAATCATCGATAAAGATGTTAAACAGGACTGGGCCCAGCACTGACCCCTGATTTCCTTCAGAATCCCCCTGTTTAACCAAGCTGGTTGTCTTCCCCACCGGCTTGCCTTTCGGCACACCGGTACAGCCTGTTCCTGTGCTCTCAAAACCTCCTGCTCACAGCACATCCATCCCTCCTGAACCCCCTTGTTTTCAAGGGTTGTTTCCCAGGGTATGCTCTGGACTAAACTTCTGAATAGGTCAAAATCTGCCCTCCGGAAGTCCAGCGTAGAGGTTTTATTGTTGGCTCGCCTTGAATCTCTGAGTATTGAAAATTCTATTATTTCGTGGTCACTATTTCCCAGGCGGCCTTCAACCACTACATCTCCCACCAGCCCCTCTCTGTTTGTGAACAGCAGGTCTAGCGGGGCGATAATTCGGAGAGAGGCTAGTTATCTCACAAAATCAAGGGGTACCCGTCAATGCAACTCCTGGTCCTGCACAGGAATAAAGTCATAAGGCCCTGACGTTGAGGTTTGTTTTTTTTTTTTTTTTACAAACTCCAAAGGCCTCGAAATCCTCAGTTTCAAGGAAGAGACACCAAAACACACGCGAGCAGGAGAACGGGGAAGGAGCAGAGGAGCTTCCCCAGCCTTTGGCACCTCCCCAGAGCTCTGTCCCCACAACACAGGGACACGGCCCGGGGACACCTCACTCCACTTCCCCCACCCTAACACTGACCAGGAAACGCCTCGTTGATAAAAAAACCCGCAACGCGGCAGCCGGGGCGTGTTTTAAGTATAAAAAAAGAGAAACCTTTACGGGACCGCAACACCCCCGGAACCTCCGGTGAGGCCGCGGCGCTCCGGCGGCCTCTGGGCTGGGCTGCACAGCGGCGGAGGGCGCGGCTCGTTGACGGGCAGCTGGTTCAGCCAATAGCAGGCAAGAATCGCAGGAGCGGTGGCTGGATGAGCCAATCAGCGGCGCGGGGAGGCGGGGCTAAACCCGGAAGCGGCGAGCGGCACCGGGAGCAGCACCGGGAGCAGCGGCGGCAAAAACAGCGGCAAAAATGTCGGAGCGGAAAGTGCTGAACGTGAGTTGGGGGGGGATCCCCCGCCTGGGGGACCGAGCGGGGCCAGCGGAGGGTCCCGAGGGCACTGCTCGGGTGGCTGCGCGGAGGTGGGGGGGGGGGGGGGGGGCTCAGGGCCCTTCACGCCCCCCTGAACTCTCTCTTTAACCCCCCACAGAAATATTACCCGCCGGACTTCGACCCGGCCAAGATCCCGAAGCTCAAACTCCCCAAAGACCGTC